CTTTACATTCCACACAAGTAAACCATTGAATGAAATCAACTGATTGCTGAAATTCAACTGCCAAATTGAAATCTTCAACCTCTAATAATGGGTTTGCAAATTCTGAAAATTACAATATAGTTACATAAAACAATTATGTTGATTGATGCAAACAAATACTTTCAATAATTTGCAAGCCAGTATTCCTACCTGTTGTTGTCAACAAGGGATCCAAGAAATTTTTAAGATCATGATCAGGTAATGAAACACAATCAAAAGCCATTGGTATTGCACCAGTATGCAGTCTATTTCTTCTTAAATTTGTGAAACAAGTGCCATCAAAATGACCACCACACATAAAAAATTTTGTGCATAACGAGTACGGACTATATTTTAATAATTCCACATTACCAGACCTTTGCACCCACAGTCCAAATCTAAAACCATGAAAAAAATGAATTTTAAAAAAATCAAAGAATGAACACTAAAACAATAACTTTTATAAAAAGATTAAGAACTTTACCTAACAACATCCTCCTTCTTCAAACAATCACCTTTCTTTAATTTTGGAAAAGCAAACAAAGACTGATTGTCCGGATCATGTTGACAATTAACTACACAACACACTCGCCCTTTTGCTGTTTTTTTGGGCACTTTAACTATACTCTCACCAGACTGTACATCAACACATTTTTGATTTTCATTACAGCTGATCAGCTCATTAACTACTTCAACATTATTCATTTCATCACAAATAATTTCTTTTTCATTATTATCAGTACTACATGGTAGTTCATCTTTCCAATCAATTAGTTCAACATCTGAATATCCAGTCAAATCACAAACAGCTTTAACCTGAATAAGTGACAAAAATCTTATAAACAGATTTTACTCATACTTGTAAAGATATAATAAACCAAGTATTCACCTACCTGGTCAATACAATTAACTGTGTCAGATTGAAACAAATCATGAACAGTCATACGATCACATACTGTTTCACAAAACCGAACCTTATCTGAAGAACAAACACATCGCATTATTGCAATATTTTCAATTAAAAAAACATCTCATATTAATCAAATGAATAACTCTTACTGACCTGCAAATAACTGTAATCTCAAAAACAAAAAATCAACAGAATCTTCAGGTAAAGAATTACACTGAAACACAGTTGGCACTGCATTTTCAAGCAATGTTAAAACTTCCAAATCAGAGAATTGACTATTATCAAAATGACCAGAACAAAGAAAATGAGTTTTATGCAAATTTTCAGGCCTTTGATGAAGAAGAGAGAAATTGCCAGATAACATCACCCAAATTTTTAGCCTGAATAAAATAAATTAAATATGTATTAAACAAACATAATACTACTTCAAGAATAATGCCACTAACTTACTGCTGAATTTTAAGAGCATCAAATACTTTCTCTCTCACACCACTCTTATAGATACAAGGGAAATAAAACAATACCGAACAATCTTTAGATGAACAATTCACAGCACAGCATTTTGCATTGATCTTGCGTCTCTTCAATAGATTAGTTACAATATTTGTTACATTGGTTTCAGAGTCCTCAAACAATGGCCTAGCACAATCAACCTGTAAATTTAAGAAAATAACAAAAACAAGAAAGTATTAATCTGCTGCTGAAACCAATAGGTACAAGTAAAAGGAAAATAATACATAATATAAAACGTTTGACAAACCTCAAACAAGTCTTTTCTAACATGAACAGCTCTCTCAGAAAACATAATAGTTTCATACATAGATAATAAAGATGCAGAAGATACACTGACAGAACTATCATCACACTCAGGTTTACAATCTGCTTCACTTTGCTGAACAATAACTTTGAGTGTACTACCAGCAACATTATCAGCATTGCAATCAACCTTTCAATAAACAAATAGGCACAATTAAAATAATGCAATGATTTCTTTCAACACAAAATGTAATTCACAATAACTCAACCATCACGACCACAGTACTTGTACTTACAATATTAATGACATCTTTAATTTGGCCACCAGTACATACTTGCTTCACAAAATTACCAGAACCACCTTCAACAGGATACTGATTTTCCATTGTATGACACTCAAAGATTACAAATAACAAAGCAGATATAAATGAACTTATAACCGCCAAACCCTTCACCACATGGCAGAGGGAAGGGAAGACAATCAAAATTCAAACGCTACGCGGCCACTCTACGCCACTACACAGCAAACATAACACTACCAACCACACACAAAAAAAAAATGCTTAAAAACTTTTCTTTTTATTTCAAAACGACACCTCAACTACAAAACGTTATGCTCAGCGAATTTAAACTTATTAAATTCATCTTCACCACACATTTTCAAACTTTCCTTAGTCTTTTCAAAAATTACTTTCTCACAAAATAAAATGGTTGTGTTGTAGTGGCAGCCCAAAGAAACGGTGTGATCGTCCGGTGGGATTGAGCGAGCGTCATGGTCTCGTATAGTTCAGTTTATGTTAGTATAGTTCAGTTCAGTTCAAGACTCGACCAATAAGAGTCCCGGGGCCCCCGGCTCAGCCCGGGCCGAGCAAAGAGCCCAAAGCAAAGCCACGCTGCTGCTGCCGCTGCCGCCGCCGTCTTCCTGCTGCCGCTCCCCGGGTTCTCACAATGTCGCGAAAAAAGAAATTCCCGCAGATAATGGTGCCGGTGACTGCCAGAGGCGCAGGTCGGTGGTGGCGGCGGCGCTAAAGATGGTGTGTAATAATGGGGGTGATGGTAGGAGGAGGCGAGTGACTGATTCGAATCAAAAGGGCGAGGGGAGGGAGGAAGAGAAAAGTGAGACCCGTCCGTGTGCGCCGATGCACTTTTTTTTTTGCGTCGAGATTAAAGTGGGCGCGAAGTCGGGCGGGCTAGAAGGTGGCGTGGGAGGGAGAGAGAGAGAGCGACAGTCTCCGAGGTGCGCTTACTTCCGCCAAGAGGCACCTCTTTCTTGTCAGGCCTCTTCGGCGCGGCGGCGGCGGTGTCGGGCGGCTCCGTGCTAAGTGACAGCCGGTTTGTCCTCGAACGCGTTCGTCTGTCTTTTTGGGCGGCGGCGCTCAGCGGGTCCTCCTCCTCCTGCTCCTCGGCGGGCTCCTCCTGCAGCGGGGGAGGAGGGCCCCGGTGGGACCTGCTCGTCGCGCCCCGGGACGCCCACCACGCCCCGCCCCGCCCCACCACGCCGCAATCAATTCAAATGTGCCGCTGCGCCACGCCGGGCCGTCCTCCTAATGATGACGTATCGCTATCAGGGGCCCCGCCCCGCCGTACCCCGCCGCACCCCGCCCCGAACCAGACTGCGTGGAGGAGGAAGGCTTTATGAAAATTCGGCCTCGTCGCCAAGAAGTGTGTCCCTTTTCCCTTCCCATTTCGGGGCTCAAAATTTAATTTACGCGCCGAGGACAAAAGCCGGTTTGCGCGCGGCCAGGCCCAGCCCGGCCCGGCCTCGCCGTCCCGCCGCCGCCACGCCACAAGTTAGCGCGTCTGACAAGAACGCATTAATTTAAGAGGATCGTATCGCCCAGGCTTGATGCGGCGCTGCGCCGAGCTGCGCCGGGCGCGGGAGCAGGAGGGTGGGCTGGCGGACGGGGCCGTCGGGCGGGACTGCCTGCACCAAGGCGCATCTCACAGCTACCAGAAATAGGGCCAGTTGCCATGTTGCACATAGGTTTTGATCGGTTTGCTTCGCAATTCATCGTGCCAGGTACTGCGCCTTTTTCGTGTTCGATTTTGTTCGAGCATTTTCGCCAGTTTCGTTAGGTGACCCACACGTCATATATTATTTGGGTCGTCGTCGTCTTGGCGCAGAAATGCCAGATGGTGATGGAATCCCGGACATTACGACGATCAGGAGCCAAATGAGGGGGTGGGGAGGAGGGCGAAGGTGCCGTGGAGGAGGGGGGGGGTGGGGGGGGGGCGAGGTTGCGAGGTGAGCCTGCTGCTGGGGCAGGGACCCACCCGGCCGGCAGGAGTAGGGCTTCTCTCTCTCTCTCACTCTCATCCCCTCTCCCTCTCTCGCTCGCCCCGCTCTGCTACGCTCCTCGACCCTTCCCTGACGAGCCATACGGGCCTTTAATTAAAAATTCCGGGCGGCCGGGAGAACAAAGCGTAGTGCCTGCCGCACAACACACAATGGTCTGCTGGCTGTGTGCATATTTCCGTCCATTTTCATCTCCCCCGCCAAATGAATAAACAGTGGAACTTTTGCACACAAAGCAGCGTAGCGCGCGGGGCGCGGGGCGAGGCGTTCCCCTTTTGCGCGGGTGCCCCCCCCTACTTCTCTCGCTCTCTGGTTTCCGATATCTGCTGCTGCGCGTCGACCTCCAAATTCCCACAACACCTGCTTTGCTCCGCGCTCAGCCACAAACGCTAATAAAAAGGGCTGGCTGCCGAACCGTTTTTTTGGGGGGCATAGATTCGGTTATTACATTTTTCAAGTCTTAACTCAATAATCGCAACTGTTAGAAGCCCCGCGCTAGCCCTCAAAGAAGTTGTCACTGTCACGCCGGGGGGGAGATGTGGGAGGAGGGGGCGCCCCGTGGTTATGCAGCCAAACTGCGCTGTGCGGCGGGCGGGTCGGCCTACCCTCGCGGCGCGCACCGGTGCAGGTTCGGAGATAGGGGCCGATAAACGCAACGAGTGCCTCCCGAGTAGGGAATAGAAATAGAAACCCAAAATTTTTCCGGAAAAAAATTGAAACTGTTCCAGAAAAAAAATTGGAAAAAGTTTGAGATGATTCGAGAAAAAATAAATTTTGAAATGGGAGAGTTGAAAACAAATTTCAAACCGTTGTTTGATAGGTAAATTTCCTACTTGTGCGTTTTCACGGGAATGGGGCCAAACTGTCTGAACCAATGAGTTTTAGGCGTTTTAGGGGTTTGTCATATTCGAATTGCGATTGAGATGTAGAAATTTCGGTAGAAATACCGGAAAGTAGTAACATCTTTAAACATTTAGATGCGCACCCGGTCTGACTCTGCCCGCCTGTTGTCTGTTGCAGTCACCTGCCCACCACCAACAGGACGTCCTGCGGTCCCTGAAGCGCCGCCTGCAGACTGCCGTGCCCGAGTTCCCCAGGCACAGGCTCAGGATGCTGGCCAGGCTCGGGGAGGGGGCGTTCGGCACGGTGAGTTGATGCACATTTTAAATGAAAAATTTCTTGCCCAAAGTCGGTCTGCTTCCTCACTTTTCGGTCAGTGTTCCGCCTATCACCGTGTTCCTTTTCCTGTACTCATTGTTTTGCCCTTCCCGCCCTATCCAGTTGTACGTCGCCGAGGCCGACGGCATCCCCGAGTACGGGACAACCACGTCTCTTGGCAAGCGGCTGGTCGCTGTCAAGTTCCTGAATCAGGGCGCCGGCGAGAAGGAAAAGTAAGTATAGCACCTCCTCAAGCACATGTTTTGCCATTGGATCAGAGATGGTCGGAGGCTCAAACAGAAGCCACGACGTATACGTAAGCCTGTTTCAGGTAGTTATCGATCCAGCATTCTCCCCCCCCCCCCCTCTAGGTTGCATGAAAATCACCGACTGGAGGGCGTAAATCTGTGAGGTCACGCCTTGCAGAGCCCCCACTCTTCTCTCCTGGGAGAGGAGGGCAGCAGCAGGATCCTCTATTGCCCCCCGGGTGTTTGCAGATAAAACTTCCAAGAAGATGCTGTCCCTTCCTTTGCTCCTTTCATAGTTTTCTCTCCTTATTAGATTGTTTTTGTTCGGTTTTCCTCTTTTGCCCTACCCGCCGTTGCTGTTTTTCCCTCCCTGAGGTTTTTTTTCCCGTTGGTCCTCTCTGGATGGACAAAAGCAGAGAGGGCTACTTTCTTTCAACCAAACACTGCAGGGGGTCGTGTCGTCGTCGGGAGATTCTCTCTCTCTCTCTCTCTCTCACTCTCTCCCTCCGACCGTTGTGTTATTTTTCCTTGTCTTTGACGGCCCTGTTGAATCACTTTAATTTATTTTCGCGGTTGGTTCTTTCATCGTCCTCCCCCCTATTCACTCGGCCCTCACCCGACGACAACATTTCTCACACCTCGGGACCGGCCGGCGACAAAGGGACTAACGGGATTAGCGCCGGGGATCCGGAGGACCGGGCGGGACAGCGACGACGGAGGGGGATTGACGTGTCAGCGCGATATTTTTGTGCTGATCCCTCCCGAGTGCCCCGCCGGCCCCTCACGCGACGCCGCCCTCTCTTCCTGCTGCTCGGCGCTCTGCTTTTTTTCCGGCAAGGAGGACGACGACGACGCCGACGCTGAGAGTGGCGGTCACCGGTCAGTGTCATGTCCGAGGCGGGGCGAGGCGGGGCGGGCGACGTCAGCAAATAAAGGTCAACATTAATTGGGGCTGGAAGGGCAGCGGAGCGGACCGCCCCCCGGGCTGCTCTGGGCTGGACCAACCGGCGGCTCCCCGTCACTTCTTGTTACACTTTTTCCACACCTCAGGAGCCTTATGGTCCCCCCTTTCCCCCTCTCCCCCCTACTCGCTGTCCTCTTCGTCCCTTCCGTTGCCTTCTGCTGCGGGGCCCCTTTACAGCCAGCCACCCTGCTGGCTGTCCCCGACGGGAGTAAATTTCGCAGCTACTATCGGGGGAGAATTGATCATTATGTCCAGGGAGGAAGAAGCAGGGAATCAAAGAACAGGATGCTGAGACTTCCCCCACCACTCACCCCCTCCCCTCGCCCTCGGTGTGAGGGAGAGAGTACCCTCTTATCCTTCCGCCGGGGGGTACTTCTTGGCGGGGTCCACCGCGACCACCTGTTCCTGTCGGGCCAGAACTGGGGCGCTAATAGAGAGAAAAGAGAGGGGGAGGGAGGGGTCTCCGGCCGCGCGCGGATCGGCGTGGCGAATGCCTTATACCGTGCAAATATTTGCACGACCCATTCCTTTTTCGTGAATTACCCCCCCCCCCCCCAAGCTCGTCGTGCGACGTTCTCTATCTCTCTCTCTCGCCCCTCTGCTTCTCTTCATTTAGGAGGAAACGCCCGCGCGCGCTTCGCGGGCAAGGCGGGAGGATGGGCGGGGAAGGGGGGGGCGTCCCTCGGGCCCAGCCCGACGGTCCGTTCGTCGCCTCTGCGAAATTACAAAGATCAATAGTAGCTCCGGAGCTTGCCGGCTGACTCGACTTTGCCCGCCTGGCCCACTGGGAGAGAAAGGGGGGTTGGGGGGGGGGGGGCTCTTTCCCCTTTACTGCCCCGGAGCTGCCTCCATCAGCGTATTTCTCACCGTGATTGTTGTTATCCGACTCGGCCTCCACCACCACCGTAGTCGTAAACCCTTCCCCGGGAAAATGCGCCCACTGTTTGATGCAATGCACTATTGTTCAATTTATCGAAAGGAAAACGAAGAGTGGAAAATGTGGGAATGGCATAAAATGCCAATCGCAATAATTAAGACCTGAAAAAGATACCCACTCGCATTATCCCCCCCTTTCTCTAAAATTAAAGCGTACACAGATCTATCTGTATTTTCTCGATTTCTCTTTATTCACCCCATTTTATATTTAACTATAATTTTTCTTGTTAATTTCCTGATTTTTCATAAATTCTCAGTTGTTTTGGTATTATTGAATTTTCATTTATTTTTCTGATTTGTTTGGAGATTGCATATTCATTGATTGTTTTTTAAATGGAGCACCCCTCTACTCAACTACTGCGCGCTCTTTCCGATCCTGCAATAACTTGGAACTCTTTCGCTAACTCGCCTGCTTTTTGTCTGCGCAGGGCCGACTTCCACAAGGACGTGCGGCTGCTCTCGGCCCTGGAGGACCCGCGGCTGGCGCGCGTGCTCGGCATGTGCTCGCGCGGCGAGCCGCTGTGCGTGGCGCTCGAGTACCTGCCGCACGGCGACCTGCACCGCTTCCTGCGCGAGCGCGCCCCCCTGGACCAGCTCGACGAGCACGCCGTCGACTTCAACACGCTCCTCTACATGGCGTCGCAGATCGCGTCCGGCATGCGCTACCTGGAGACGCTCAACTTCGTCCACCGCGACCTGGCGGCGAGGTGAGTTATTTTTCTTTCGGTCCGTTCCTTTCCCTCTCTCTCTCTCCCCCGCGGAGCTCGGCGGTGCCCTTCTTCCCTCCCGTCACGTCCATCTCTGGGGACGACGCGGTCGGGTCAGGCCGCGCTCAGACTGCTGACTGAGGACGGGGGGGAGGCCCCCCGTCTCCGCCAGTCATTGACGGGGACGTGGTGCGGGAGTCCACTCTCCTGGCCGACCAGGCCACTGTCCACCACACCGGAGGGGGAAAAAAGAAGATTGGGGTTGACTTTTCCTTTTTGACCGTTCCACTGTTTCGGTGTCATCCTTAAAACTTGTACTCCTACCGTGATCCCGAGCACAGGCAGGATTACAGTGTTCCTGCAGAGCCACACTGCGGCGGCGAGCTGGGGGTGGTACTACTGCCACCGCCCCCGCCCGCCCCTCCTAGTTAGACCTCAGCTGCCGCGCCGCCACCGCGGAGCGAAATGTTTTCGATTTCATCGGGACTACTACATAGAGCGATGAATTGAAATTCCTCCGCCCCTCGGGTCCCCACTACGCCCCGCCCCGCCACGCTCGCTTTGTCCGCGCGGCCCCCGCACCAACCAGGTTATGAGAAATCGCGCCCCGCCGCTGATGATGTATCGGCTTTGCGCTGCTTTCATGTGATCTCGCCTTTGGCTCCGTCGTGCCGCCCCCGCCGAGGCCGACGGGGAAAATATTATTATTTTCCCTCTCCTGCTGCTGCAATTATTGAAATTAATAAGTCGAGGGCGAGCAGCAGCAGGTCGTGCGGCTCGGACCCGGGGACGGCAGCGGCGCGGGTGAGGGGAGGGGAGGAAGGGCTCTGTTTCTGACAGGTAATCACATACAAACTCCCCTCGCGTCCCGCGCGTTCTTTTTACGGTCTCTTGGTCACGGGGGCGGTTTGG